TTATAAACGTTGGCTATTTTTCTATTAACAGTCCAAAAATTGGCTAGGCCGTGCTATTTTCACCAAAAAGCATGAATCTATATTCTTTCAAATGAAAGGTATCGGGTTAGACCTTTGAAGAGAGTGATTTATTTCTTTTAGTGAATACTCTCTTAAGCCAAATTAATCTGATTAATATATTCGAATATAAGATGCTTAGAGGGAAAACAGATAGTAAGCAATTCCACGAAACTTTGTTTTATATGCTATTTGAACTTTAGTTTAGATGATATATATATATATATATATATATATATATATATATATATATATATATATATATATATATATATATATATATATATATATTCAAATTTACTAAATATTAGGTATTTTATCTAAGTATTTACAAAATTATTGAGATAGATTATTATATACATGATCGAATTAGAGGGCGCTCATTATTGAGAAGAAACAAAGCTTAAATACAATTACAATCACCACTACTTGCATGTAATAACAACAATCTATTAGTGGAATAAGAATATGCTTTACAAAAAATTCTAAATTTGATCCAACTTGAGTGGAATAAAAATATGCTTCAATAATGTTGAAATGGAGAATGACGTTTAACACATCAGCAAACAAAAGTTTGAAGGAAAACTACCAATTATGTCCTATAATTAGTTCATTATAAAAATTGATTAATTTGTTATAAATAGAATTTTATTTATGGTGAATGTCTATATTTAGAGAGATTCTAGGGTTTATTACTTGGTGGCTAAGTCACCATCTCCCTATAAATAGAGGGTTTTATTCCATTGTAAATCATCCAATATCAATAAGAATTCTCTCTCTCTACTTTTCTCTGCAATACTCTTCTTCTTCTTTTATTGTTTCATAACACGTTATCAGCACGAGACTCTAACCAATTGAGTAGAAGCTTTGGGATTGAGCATAATGATTGTCAATTATTTCATGAACTTCCTTCATGATTAAATTCTGGATTTAAGGTAAGTATTTTACCGTATTTTTCTCTTTTATTCTATACTTTGATTTTAAATACAAGCAAAGACAACAAAATTTGATTATAACTCTAATGGAGTTCGTAAGAAATTATAACCACCTGAAGTGGTAAAATTTCTATGCCTCGCCATGATCAAATTCATGTATGATTGTGGGCAAAGAATTGAAAACCCGTCCCATTGAATTTGCTCCATTCTCATTCCCTTAAGAGAATGTAATAGCAGTATGTGATAAGTCTGAAAGAAGACAAAATTATCACTATGAATGTATCAATGGATATGGACGTGGCAATAGACGAAATTATAATCGTCATCATTTGTGGTAATGAGAACAATAAGGATTCTCAAAATAATCTTTCACTCTGTGAAAAATATTTGTCATCGATTTGACATGAGATTTTGTAAAGCACATATAGATGATTATGGTCCATTCATGATGTGAATGTGACAACATCTGGTTTATGAATACATATTCATTCTTCAAAGAATATGAACGTGCTAGTGATAGTGAATATACCGCACTCACCTCTAAAAGGAGGTTTGAGATGATATAAGACAATAATGTCATTATTATGGCATGAATGGTCATTGGTCACGTACCTATTATACGCCAAAATATTTTGGCATTGTGATTGTTAAAAGACAATGGTAATGCAATAAACAGATCTTGCATATAATTTTGACCATAACCATAATGGTATAACTTTCTCTTTAAAAGAGATATTACCATATAGGTGTTGATGAATATGTGGTACTACAAAATTAATTGAGAACTCTACAAGAGCCAATTATACTATTTTGGAGAAACACAATTAATTACCAATAAGGTATTGTGTTGTAGTAAGTCTCAAAGAAACTTATTCAGTTTTCAAAGTATACGCGAAAGCGGTTGATTATATTGAGACTATAAATAAAGGAAAGATTTAATATCTTCTATTACTACAACTTGTAGCGGGGTAATATGTATGTGAAAAGCTATCCGCTTTATTCTCCAATTTGTACTACATAAACAAAAGAATACCACAATGAAGTGGATATTTATTGATATAAAAATCCATATCATAATAAACTTGGAGTTTATTCATAATTGCACACATCATGGTGTAAACCTGAAGTTTATCAATATTGATAGTTTATCCAGTTGACATAATTGGTTTAGCCATGTTAATTCAAGTATGATGTGCAAAAATAAAAGAGAATTGACATGGGTAAATATTAAAGAACTAGAAAGTTCTTTACGAATTCTCTTACATTGCTTGTTCTCATTAATTAATTGATCAACTAAAATTGGGATTGAATCCCATGAATACTGAAAATATCAAAGGTGAATATGGGCCCATTCACCTGCCATATATACCACATAAGATGCACCTATGAGTATGGTTACATGTGCGATTATTAATAACCCGTCAACATGGTGTTTTGTCGAGGTNATTGCTTATGAGAACAAAGTTATTTATATCAGTTTGATATAAGTTATATACGAAAGTATATTATTTTCTCCCCTCACAAGTGGTTCAGGGTCAGGAACCAAATAATTCCATCTTATTATTATTGATGTGCGGTGTATATTTTGATTAACACCATAAAACACAAAGGTGGATTCTCAAAGTTGAGGTAATAAGTTAGTTTTTCTAACATGAGGGGGAGACATGATTAACAGTTGAGAAAACGTTACATGGAATGAATTATCATTTGTACATCTAGATCCTCGAATAACATAATATGAACTTGAGGTTCATAAAAATATCATTCATGTGCAATTTATTGCAAAGCATGTCAGACGCATTTGCTGACCCAAAGAAAGTAACTATATTTTCATTGCAAATGCTCCTATTAGAATAAGTCCTAGAAGGACAAAGTTTATAGTACGCTTAAAGCATATAGACAAATCGGTTTCAAATAAACTTCTTGATAAAGAAGATGAGCAAATGATCATAATAAAGGAGGCAAGTGATCTAGAAGATCACATGACATAACACTTCATAAAATCTCAAGAGAGATTCAGGTACTTGAAAATATGAATGAAGAGATCTCTATGTTATGTCTTTATGAAAAAATATTGAAACCGATATAAAATGTTTGTCGACGACATCTATGATAGCGCTAAATATATATATGAGGATCTTAAGTCTGAAGAAACAATTCAAATAGAATTGGTTTCATATGAAAGCCATGTAGTTTTGAACATATAGTTCAAACACTTGAAAGTATAAAGTCAATGGTATGTGCAATCAGTTTTCGATATCTTATTTGTCTAGCATGATATGAAAGCTTGATATGCATCTAAAGTCTATTATATGGCTTATATGACTTAACTTATATCGAAATCCTTGAAGGATTTAAATTGCTTAAAGCATATAGAATTCATGGTCATGAAGTACTATATCCTAAATGCAATTTGTGCACAAATGTATCTTGCTATAACTATATGCATGATAATATGATAGCAAGAGTTTTCACCTCTATGTGAAGATATTGAATTGACGATTCCAACAAAATCATATGAAGACAATTCATCTCTATCAAGAATGATGATTTCAAGGTGCAATATATTCATTCAAGTTAATATGACTGATTTGTTTATCAAATCTCTACCAAAGATCTTTTGAAGATGGTGCACAAGATTGGAATGCAAATGCTTAAGGATGTGAAGTGATGCTCTCATGAGGGGGAGTTAATACGCGTTGTACTCTTTTTCCCTTACAAGGTTTTGTTCCACGGGTTTTCCTTGCAAGGTTTTTCACGAGGCAACCAAAAGGCGTATTATTAGATATGTGTACTCTTTTTCCTTCTCTAGAATTTTTTTCCCAATGGGTTTTATTTTAGTTAAGGTTTTAACGAGGCACATTATCTGTTGAATAGACATTCAAGGGGGAGTGTTATAAATAGAATTTTATTTATGGTGAATGTCTATATTTAGAGAGATTCTAGGGTTTATTACTTGGTGGCTAAGTCACCATCTCCCTATAAATAGAGGGTTTTATTCCATTGTAAATCATCCAATATCAATAAGAATTCTCTCTCTCTACTTTTCTCTGCAATACTTTTCTTCTTCTTTTATTGTTTCATAACACAATTCATAAAATATTACTACTAATATTAGCCAACTATTACCGATATTAGCCAATTAGCTATTTGTAGCCAAAAAAGTTAAAATTTTGCTTTCTTTTGAGTGGATGTTATTAGAATAGACTGGATACATCGTAACGAGCGTGAATCCCAGTTTTGGGATGATTTATTGAAGTTTTGAGGTGGTTTGAATTGAAAATTCGAAGTAGAAGATGAACATGAAAAAAAATGTATCATTTGTGTATCATATATGTATCAAATTTGTATCACATGTATATTCATGTATACCTGTGTGTGTGATACATGCGTGATACATGTGTCGCTGAAGAATTTTTTGAACTCGATTTTAACTACGAATTTTGATACCAAATTAGTCCAAATCACATCCAATCTTCCTCAAATTTTGTATATTGACTCATCTGTATGTTTTCAATGAATTTTAGCTATACCTCTGATGTTGCTAATCACGCTTAAAAATATGGAAGGAGATCTTTGCGTGTGATTCTTGGAGAGAAAGAACCTTATTTATTTAGGTTTTCAACTTTTATATGTGTTTGGTTAAATTTGGTAAGTTTATAATTAATTGGCTAGAAATTGAAAAGTTGAAACTTATTTGGGATATTTACTAAGATTCCCAAATTTGAAGGGGAAATTCCCAATTCTAGTTGAACTTTTTAAATTATACAATATCATAATAGGAAGCGCGAGAGTATTTAACTAGTGGTTATTAGATATAATTAAAGAAGGAAAATATGAATACACTTCATTCAATAATTTGGGGTTCTTTAACACTAGAGGTTCTCTAAATTTTCTACTGTCATATTAAAGATTTTTAAAGTTATATATGAACGTGAAACGTCATTCTCCATTTTCTACCAGACCCCATTTATGGGATTATACTATGAACGGTGAAAGAATTTAAGGTAAGATCGAAAAGAATACTTAATATATCCCGAAACCGGGTAAAATTGAATCATATTTTTCTTCTTTTTACAAACTGAGCAATAAATAGTATACATATGATTTGCTATATGTGCATGCCATGCTCTGTAGCGACCGGACAAAGCATTTCTTCAGGATGTATTAATATATACAGTATGCAGTATTTTTGGTGGTGAATGCCTTAGAAAAAAAGCCAATGCTTCTTTCTGCACACTCTAGCTGGAACCTCTGTGGCACATTATGTTCAAAGTAAAGGAAATGCTTTCAGTATTCAAGAATAGCAATGACCCAAAATTCTGAACTACAGCGCAACAGTGAAAGCAATAACACACCTACCTCCAATTTCGTACAATGAATTGTAGTGAACTTCGCTCCAGAAACTCAGCCACAATTCTGAAAATCAAGAATAATAAGTCAAAAGTTTTGTACCTTCAAGAGAACAAACATATCGACAAGAAATGTTCGTCAGCACCACACGAATACATTTCCGAACAAGTGATTTGGAATTTATTTACTTATTAAGATAAGAGTCAATTCCTAAGATCACCATGGATGTGTTTGTTTATGAAATTATAATCAGTAGAACATCATCAAACATGTTAAAGAGGAGCCTTGGAACAATGGTAAAGTTGTGTACATGTGACCTATAGGTCACGGGTTCGAGCCGTGGTAGCAGCCACTAATGTTTGTATTAGGATAGGTTGTCTACATCACACCCCTTCCTCGATCCTGCACGAACACGGGATGCCTTGGAGCAACGGTAAAGTCATTTCCTTCTGACCTATAGGTAACAGGTTCGAGCCGTCAAAGCAGCAACTATGTTTGCAGTAGGATAGGCTGTTTACATCACACTCCTTGGGATACAGCCCTTCCTCGGATCCTGCATGAACACGGGATGCCTTGTGCACCGGACTGTCCTTTTTTTTAATTATTAAACATGTTCAGCATATTCAATTTCTTGGGAAAACAATTTTAGCATAACAAAAGAGAACTATTAAAACAGGAGCAACAATCTGATGTTACTTTATTGGCAGAGGATCAAGTTTAGTGGTTGAAACAAAACGCTTAATAAGTGCTTGTATCATTAAATTGTGTGTTTCACATGAAGCAAGAGTCTGGAGATAAATTCCCCTGATAGCAACTAATGCTGCTCAGTAAGTGCATCAGGAAACTCTGTACAAAGCTTACTTTCACTAACTGTAAACATACAAATGATTCACAGTTCACAAATGACAGCGAAGGATACTTTACATTAGAATCAGTCTCGTTAAATGATGCAACAATGTCATTACAAATTAAAGGTGTTTTAGTTTTACTACTTAAAAATTAGTTTGTACCAGTTCACTTCCACATACTTCCACTCAAAATCTATTGTGTGGTACCAAGCAACACGATGATACTTTCTCCTAAATGAGAAAAGCACATCCATTTGTCAAAATAAACAAACGATTCATTTTTGTTTTCCTTTTTTTTTTTTCATTTTTGTTTCATATATATTTATTCTTATAATAAAGTGGGAGCACGCTAGAGAGTTCAAAGTGGGACCATGCTACAAAGTTCAGAAGAATAATTTTGGTTTAGTGTCTCAAACAAAACCAGCAAGTACTACTTTAATTCTGGAATTTATATCATAATATCATTATTTTAGAGTTATTTGTAAATTTCAAGTATTTATTTTATTTTTTGAGTTTAAAAACTCAAGCAGGAAGTTAAAGAATTATTAATAATCAGAAGTATTGATTGTGCCATGATCATTAGATATATAAAAAAAAAAAAAGATGTATGTACCCCTAGAAGGTTGTATGTCCTTGGGAAGAATATCAATGTAGCCGTTGTCTCGGAAAGACGTGACCAAACATATTTTTACCCCAAACTGCAAACAAAATACAAGCAAACACAAGTACCATCAGTCACCCAATACGGGAAAGCAATAAAAAAACTGCAGAGAGCATAAGGGCGAAAGGGTAATTAACAACACAAACATCTAAAGCGGTTCCACAAAGGTAAAAGAGCAAGAGAATGGTCATATTGCGGAAATTCTTTAGGTAGTAGATCTCCTGCTTTTAAGTTGCTTTCATGTCTGATGCTATGTTGAACTTCAAATATATTCAAGTTTGAACCCATAATTTCTAAAGTGTAGCAAATTTAGTGGTAAGAACCTAAAAGCTGAACCCACCAAACTTAAATCCTGAATTCGCCTTCGTATTTGATGTCTTAGACATTTGTATGCCTTCTAAGCGTAAATGTAGGTTGACAAGATGTGACAGGGCAAATTTAACTTTTTCTCATTTCTGCTCTAATATCTACAGTTAAATTTCAGTAACCTACATGCAACACAGGCATACTGCACAAAAAGTCAGGCTAAAAAATAAGAAGATGCCGGTGTTTGTAAGAAAGTAAGAGGATTATTAGAAATGTTCTTGGTTTATTTTCTCCGACAGCCTTGGGCAAGAATAAAGCTCTAAATTTCACCGTCAAAGAGTTCTAATCAGGAACCATTTTAATACATTGAGGGGTTTTCTCTTAAGGAAAAAGAATTTTCATAAAAGCCAAATGGCTAAAGGTTAACAGCTCAGCCATGGTGAAACCAGGAAGCCGAGCAGAATTGCCTTAATACTCATAACTCTTAATGCTACCATATTATATACCAACACCAACTCAAAAATTCACTTCCTAAAATTTTTCAACTTTTTCACAGGAAACTATTCCATTATGTGTATTATGCAATGTTAGATACTATTAACAAAGTTGCTTCGTTGTTTTTTTCTCATTTAAAAAGCTTAAATTTGCAATGCATCAGTTCCACTATCCAGGCAATACACCTTTATTGACAGTATAATTTGTTGGCTTTTCTTGTTCGTAGTGTTCAAATGCTGTCTTACACACTAACAAGTGTACCGTTTATATGCCTCAAAAGCTAGTTGAGGACAAATGAGAAACTTTCAACTTACTCTATCGGCAGCGGCTTGTAGAGTGACATGATCTCCCCACTCTCCCAACCTGGTTAGAGCAAGAATATGTTGGTAATGTATTGAGATTTCCCGCTATAAGAAGCACTGAAAATTGACCAGACAGCTTACCTCTTCATTTTCCTCAAGTAGCTTTTGTATCTCATGGGCACATAACCTTCATATAACTTTCTAAAGTGCTTTAGCTGAAATGGATTGCCAACTAGGATAAGAAACGTGTAGGACATAAACTAGACATAGGTGTCAAACTCAAGCAAGTATAGGATTGTGTTGATGTTTAATAGATCCAGAAATTAGGTTAAGCAGTTGAGCTGATGAGTCTCAAGCAAACACCGGGATATTTTTATTTTTAGTACTCTATTATTATGCACAAGTTACTTTAGTTTTACTAAAACTCACAAAAAAGAATATAAGCTGCAGGATATGGTAATCTAAGATGAGCACAATCCTCAAACATAATCATTATGTAATCTTAACTTTTCACACATCCTGTTTCACAACCAAAGGCAAGAGATGAGAAGCAAATATTGAAAAAATGCAAACAGACCTGTTTAACAACCTCCTTCCTTACATGCTTATGATACTCTGGATTATGATACAACTGATCCGAAAGGGCCCGAAACTACAATAAGCCAGGTAGACAGTCATAAAGCAGGTTTAAACCACCTGTGAATGAATAAGTAGCAAGTGGATCTCAAGTGCGGCGAGAGCTTGTTGACTAGTCAGAAGAGACCAACCTGGCAATTCCCATCTCCTTCAATTTGCATTTCAGCAAGACCATATGTCGCTAACCTGAATCAAAGTTAAACATAGGATCAGAGTTGTCAAAGACGAAAAACATAGAAAAGCACCAAGAAATTATCGCCGTTTAAGTGCTAAATGCAATTAAAGCATGGCTTAAGCTATGAAGAAAGACGCTAATGGAGAAAAAAAATACACATTTGTAAATGGAAAAAAGATAATCTATGAGCACAAACAATAATAATTTGGACAAAGAATTGAAAAACTATAATTAATCGGTACATATGAAGTAAAAATCATGTCAATCAAGTTCCATAAACTGGATTCACAAAATAAGTCAACCAATGACCTCAAGCTAAACAACAATAGCATGCTCAGTACAGTGATGGATAACCTGCTTGAGAGCCTCCCGTGGTCTAGTGTGGCATCATTTGGGTCAGGTATCTCCCCAATTACCCGTGGAGTGTGCTGCAAGAACAGTAAGACCGTAAGTAGATTGTAGAGATAGTACAACATGGGTTAAAACTCACAAAGCAATATATAAATATGCAACCTTTGGATACACACATACATGCGTGCACATTATACTCATTTAATTTAAAAGGGTTCCCCAAAAAATGTGAAGTTAGATAATTGTTCATAAAAAAGTCAAAAGTTCCTCGGATTTCTGAACTTCTTGAGCATTCACCTTCATCCTCTATGGATAGGGAGATGTGACGGGCAATGGATCAGTTAGAAAGGAGGACAAGTTGATCATATGTCCCCTTCTCAACAACCTTTCCCGCATCAGTAGATAGAGTAGATTCCTATCCTTAGTCAAGCCCAGGATTTTCTTCTATCTATATTTAGTTACTACCTGCCCGAGCTTATGCAAAGCAAGCCTACACCTTAGGCTGGCACCAGCCTGTCATTGCCCAAGTTCCTCTTGTTACCTCGTTAACTCGATAAAGCAGCTCGGAAAAGGGGTTTTCTACTACTTGGCATTAAGAGAAGCTTTGGTAGCTTAATGTGTCAAGGAGGTGGTTTTCGCCTATCTATAAGGACAGTTGGAGTTGATGGTCCTGGTTCTGTTACAGCAAGGGATGTTGCTGGAATAACTTGTATTGATGGAACAGAAGCTCTTCCTGCTATTGTATTCAATGAAAAATAGGCCCAAGGGACATCCATGGGCAATCGCCAAGTACATGGTTTAGCTAATTCAATAGCCTTCAGAGTAAAGTGATATGTACCAATGGACAAGCAAATCACTTCTGGATTAACCTTTAAGGATCTTCTTATGGTGAACTGTCGGAATGATGCGGGGATAACCCAAGGGCGAGTCAGCTAAACAAAGACGGAAAATATCAGTACCATTCTGGCAGCCGTATGCTTGTTGAAGAGAACAAGCTCTCTTCTAGCCAGCTAAAGGGAAAGAGAGAGGTAGTATAGAATACCTAAGTTAATCTATCATAGCAGATACTACAAGTTACAAGCAAATCTCTACATAAACCTCCTCATGCCAAGATAGTGAGTCCATCAAATTAAAAAAAAAGACTAATACCAGATTCCTTCCTAGATAAAGGGGTAAGGTTACTTTCTTTCTTCCACAAGATCTCCACTTAAAGAGACTATCAACTAAGTAATAAATAACAAACAAAAGCCTTATAGTACGACAATTAAATGAAATCATACCGGGATTGAGTCCAAATGAGAAAGTCTCCTGCCAAGCTTGTTGCCACCATACTTGAGAGCATTTTCTTCTTCTTCAGCTAAAATTCTTGCAATGGTATGATCATCCTCAGTACCGTGTGAACTACTATTCAAACTAGATGTAGTAGAACTCGAGCTTGCTCTTGAATTTCCATAGTATTCATTCATATTACGTCAAACAACTTCTCAACACGCAAAAAAGAGAAAAAAAAAATCCTATTAAACAACATCCACGAAGAACAAGTAGAACCTTCAAAAGCTTGTACGGATCGAATCAGATAACTGTCAGCATATATACACAAAATTAAAATACCCAAATAAAAAAATTACAAAACAACCAACAAAAAGATCCAAAATGAAGAACCAAATTGAGGAAAATGACAAAGGAAACACAACGGTTTTCTAGTGTGTGTGTGTGTGTGTGAGTTTGATTTCAAGAAAAGAAAGAGAGATACCTGTGAATGGAAGATAGCGGAAGGGAAAGGAAAAGGGAAATGTTGGTTGAGGGAAGTAAATAGCTTGTAAAATATGAAGAGTAAGATAAAACGTCATTCTCTTACAAACCCAACAGGCAAATCTATAAAGAGATTGATTGAATGTTTCGGTAAACAAACAACGCCTACAGAAAACAGGAAGCGTGTACGGGCGAGTAATAGAAGCTTCTTCTTTGTGTCAAAACTCTTGACTTTTGCTTTGCTTGATCATTTCATTGTTAAATAAACAAACATCCCGTGTTTGCTAAATCATGACATTTTAAAGGGTCAATGACACAATTAACCACTAAAATAAAACTATTTACTCTTGTCTACCCATCAAACTAATTATATTTCCTACCCATAATAGCTTTTGTAAGTAATTTCTGTTAAGAAACTTAGCTCAAAGTAATAATATGATACAAGCAAATAGACAAGAATGTGTGTCACGACCCAATTTCCCCTACTAACGATCAATAACTGGATCAGCACAAAAAATGTGCAGAAGAGTAGCGAGCACACCACAGCGGTGCCCAGTAAATATCAAGACTAACCTCGGTAGAGTAGTGACGAGGAACAGTCAAGATACCTACTAGTCTAATAAATTGTACAAATATAAGTATAGGGATAACAGAACATGATGTATACATAAAGGCTACAAAGTAAGGCTAACGATACAACAATCATAATATGGAAGAATACAGCAAGTAACAACGGAAACACCATAATAATCACATAAAAGAGCGAGCGGAAACACAAACCCACATCCCAAATCACAATATAGTAAAGGCAAGTAATAACTCAGAAACCACGACAGTTTTCACACCATGTCTTAGCCAACAACTCTTTGAAGTACTGGGGTCTCAATACCTGAACCCTAATACTTGGCATGATGTGCCCTCATCACACCTCATGATCATGCTGACAACTCACTAACTAACTAGAACCACTCTCACATATATGACAAGCAAACGCGGGTGTACATCTATACTTAACAATACCAGGGGAAAACTTCCTAACCAAAAGTAGTATTTAGCTACGTGTATGCTTGTGCAAGTGTTCTAACATAGATCATACCAACTAAAAACGTAAGGAAAAGAACGGACAACACATAAGCTTTTCTCACAACTTTCACGAGGTAAAGCTCTTACAGGTAAACGTACCATAACACATTGTCAACAACAAGAATGCCCCCAGGCCATCACAGAGCATCACAATCAATCCCTGACATAGCCCACTTTGTCTCGCCACGTGTGCAATAATAACATAATAAGTACCCACCTTGTTTCGCCATACGTGCATCGTAATGTTCCCACCTTGTTTCGCCACATGCGCGACCCACATATACATATCCTGCCTTGTTTCGCCGCATGTGCAATATCAATAGAAAACACGGCACGACAGAAACCTCGTGCAAATTCCCATATTAACAACCGCACGGCAGAAACCTCGTGCATCACAATAATCACAATCGCACGGCAGAAACCTCGTGCATCAGCACAACAAGTACAACAATAACAATAACAATAGTATAAGACATGGTAAATACATCAACTCCAAGACCCCGATCGCAAGAAAAACAAGACTAGTTCACAAGGAATAAGCACAATAAAGAATGCTAGGCATAATAAGAACAATTCAACAAGGAAGAAAATAACATATAGCGGTCGTATCCAAATGCACGGTTCAACAACAAGAACTAATACAATTCCGATAACTCTATGTAAGGGAAAGTCAACTAAGGTATAGGATATCTAAACTTCCTTCAAGATTGAGCGGTTATGAGGATATTCAACAATTTCTCTTAAGGACAACCAGTGGGGAAAATAACCAGAACCTCAATTTTGACCAAACAATTATAGGGTGAGATGATGATAATTACAATTAGAGATAAGCAGTTATGAAGATATGGCATTGACAGTAAAAGGAATAAAAATCTTCAGTTAAGTCAATTAGGAGTCAAGTATGCAACTAGAGTACATCCGTAAGCAAGAAGTTCTAATTTAAGCCGGTAGAAGTGAACTAATAATTAGGAACTCAGTCATATCAAGAACAAATTCATACTCAGTGCATATAGGGACCTAAGATCACTAAAAGGCCAACTTTTTACAAATAAGTCCGAACATGCACCCGTCACCTCACGCGCACGGACTACAAACAACATAGAAGACTCAACTCCTAAGGGGAAGTCCACCACACAAGGTTAGGCAAGATACTTACCTCAAAAACGACAAAACGATACTCTAAGATGCACTTCTCTGGTGAAAAGACCTCCGAACGGCTCAAATCCAACCAAATTAACTTCAAAGCACAAATAAAACACATAAGAAACTATTCCGGATCATAAAGTCTCAATCTTTAACAAATTTAAAAAATCGATCCAAAAGTCAACTGCCGGTCCCGCACCTCGGAACCCGACAAATTTTTCAAAATCCGAATACCCATTCCAATATGAGTTCAACCACACAAATTTTATCAAATTCCGATACCATTTGGTCCCTCAAATCATGATTTTTCATTTTAGGAATTTTCTTCAAAAACCAACATTTTTCTCAACCCAGAACACAAATTAAAAGATAAAAATGAAGATTAAATCATGGAATATGTTAGATTCAAGGTGAAGTATACTTACCCAATCGATTTGCTTGAAACCCCCAAAAGAAGTTGTAACGACCCGACCGGTCATTTTGAGCCCTAGTGCGCCGTTCAGTAGTTCGAGGCCATGGGCAACTTTAATTCAGGCATTATGACTTGTACGCGTGGTCGGAATTAAATTTCGGGAAGTTTGGAGTTGACTTGGAGAGGAAATTCTCATTTCGAAAGCTTTAAGTTGAGAGAATTGACTAGGATTAGATTTCAGAGTAAACGACCACGGAATCGGGATCTGAAGGTTCCAGCAGGTTCGTATGATGATTTCAGACTTGGGCGTATGCCCGGATCGGGTTTTGGGTGACCCGGGAGCGTTTTGGCGCCTATTGTGGAAGTGAGCATTTTGGAAGAAATTTCATAAGTTTGGTTTGAAGTTCATTTCAGTGTTATTGATATCTGTTTGGGATTCCGAGTCTGGGAGTAGCTCCGTATGGTGATTCTGGAGTTGGGAGCGTGATCGGAGGTGAATTCGGATGTCCGTGGAGCATTTTGGAGCCATTTGGCTAAGGATAGAAATTTGAAGGTTTTTGAGAGGTTTGACCGGAGGTGGACTTTTTGATATCGGGGTCGGAATCCGATTCCGAAAGTTGGAGTAGGTCCGTAATGTCGAATATGACTTGTGAGCAAAATTTGAAGTCAATCGGACGTGATTTGATAGGTTTAAACATCGAAAGTAGAAGTTTGAAATTCTAAAGTTCATAAAGCTTGGATTGGAGGCCGATTCGTGGTTTTAGCGTTGTTTGATATGATTTGAGGCCTCGAGCAAGTCCGTAATGTATTTTGGGACTGGTTGGTACGATTGGTTGGGGTCCTGGGGGTCTCGAATGGATTCCGGGTGGTTAACGGATCGAATTGGATTTTTGGAAAAAGGCTAAAGTTGCTGGTTGCTGGTATAACCGCACCTGCGAGACTAGTGCCGCAGGTGCGGAGCCGCAGACGCGGTTTTGGACTGGAAGTTAAGGGACCGCAGATGCGGTCATGTAGCCAATAGAAGCGGGATCGCACCTGCGGTGGTCGAGTCGTAGAAGCGGAAATGGGCGGCTAGGCTGGGACCGCAGATGCGATCATTTTGCCGCAGATGCGGGACCGCACCTGCGGAAGGAGAAGCGCAAATGCGAAAGGACTGGAGGCAGTGAGCCATCTTTAAAAAACGAGTTTAAGCTCATTTCCTCCCATTTTCACTTCGGGCTTGGCGATTTTGGAGCTTTTGGAAGAGAGATTTTCTCCATCTATGTCAAGGTATGTTGTTCCCACTCATTAGACGCTAAATACATGGTTTTGCTTCGGATTTGAGCATGAAAATTGGTAGAAACTTGGGGTTTGAGGGAAAACCTAGAAAATTGATATTCTTGGATTTTGACCATGATTTTGGATATGAAATTGAGAGTAACTTATATATTTGAGTTCGTGAGGTTATGGCTAAACTTTATCTTCGAAAAAAATTTCAGAATCCGGGCACGTGGTTTCGAGGGCATTTTTGTGAAATTTCGATCGGGGTTAGGAATTGTTATAAATTGGATTGTAATGAGTAATTGAGCATATATTAATGGATTTGCATAATTATTGGCTAGCTTTGGAGCATTCGGCATCGATTCGAGTCCTCGGAAGGGCGTGGAATGCCGGTTATGGATCTTCGGAGCGAGGTGAGTCTCCTTTCTAACCTTGTAAGAGGGAATTGTCCCCATAGGTGAGTTAATTGGTTATGTGCTCCTATTTGTGGGGGGCTATGTACACACGAGGTGACGAGAGTCCGTGCGTAGCTACTATTATGCTTATGTCCGGGTAGTCTAGGACACAAAAGCATGCTTAAGTGTAATAAATGCAACCTTGTTGACAAATATTAGAATGCTTAAAACATATCGAACGTGTAAATGAATTTCTAAAAAGACTAGATATCATTATATGACTTTTAAATGAGAAACTTGCTTTTTCCTTAATAATTGCTCCTTGATGAATTGTTGATTTGATTGTTTGAATGTGTTTATCTATTGTGGAATGGGCCGAACTCCTCGGTAGATTAAATAGATGCATCCATGGTTCGTGCCGTTCGACCCTCGGCAATGCACATTTTACATTTATGTTGGATCGGGCCGTACGACCTCGACATGAGTTGCGCATGCTTGTATTGCTTGCCTTGAGATTTATTGATATTGCTATCTACTCTCCCGACTTGAGATAATTTTTAATTATTGGATTATGAATCCGGAAACTTTAAATAAAAAGGAACTTTCACCTGTTTAGTGACTCATTTGAATCTACTATTGTTCTTAACAAATCCGTAAGTCATCGCATTAATAATATTATTACTGGACCTTTAGTAAGTGTCGAAGTTGCCATCTCGTCTCTACTTCTTCGAGATTAGGCGGGATACATACTGAGTACACGTTGTTTTCGTACTCATACTACACTTGCTGTGCATTTTTGTTGCACAGGTTTATGTGCGACTAGTGGCATAGCGGCATTGTTGATACGGAGACTTAGGTGAGCTGCACTATCGAGACGACCCGCAGCCAGCTAAGTCTCCTTCAGAGTATTGTACTATATATCCATTTCTG